TTATCATTCAACATTTTATTTAGGTAGAAGTACAAAAGTACCATCAGTATTAAAATACATTTTAAGTAATAAAAACAAGTACTTATTGCACAAATTGGCCCATTTTAGAATAGTAGATTGGTATTATTGGATTATTATTACTCGTGCATGGGTTAGTGTGTAATGTGTTCACCACTTTAATGTCACTGTAAAAAGAGGAGCATGCTTTTTCTTCATTTATCTATCTATCTATTTATTCATCTTTTTATTTATTGTATTACTTCATATGCTGTCGCTTGTGAACACCAAAGGAAAAATACAGTTTTATCTTTACATTTCAATAGAACATGTTCAATTATGTGTAGATTATATTTTGTATCATTAATATAAATCTGAATCTTCCAAGTATTATTGTCAAATAAATAGTTCAAAGGGGTTAATATAAAAGTATAAACTGTAATATTAGCCCCTGAAATGAACTGAAGTGGACTAGAAGTAGCAAAAATGGAAATGCTTAAATTAAGTCCAAGTTCCTTAAATGTGTACTAAATTACATTACTGAATAAATGTTCTTACTATCCACCTACGGTGTTAACATATAATATATAATGCATGTTTAATGTGACTGACATGCCATTTGTAATGCCTTTCATTGTTGCATTGGCAGTGTTTGCACCTCAGTGTTTATTGATCGGCTTTACCTCTGTGGCGTGCCGTGCATTGAAGCCTGTGGTTCTTTTTGAAGGTTATTTAACACTATAACACATGGCAGGGGAGCAATTATCACTGGAAGGACGAGGCAAAAAATACATCATGCATTCCTTTTCAAAGAGCGTGTTGATAGCGGGTCAGGCTTTGAATTCCACAGCGCTGTTAAAACACGGGGTGAAAGTAAACACCATAAAGCAGGGATCAAAGCGGAGCCCTCAGACTTATCCCCTTCAGGTTACACACACATTATAAATCCATAGGATGTTGCTAATAGTCACATGAAATAATGTATATATTATGAGCAAATGGGTCCCTGAGCACAAACATGAAAAAGCCCCCTACCCATCATGTATTGGAGCAAAACAGCCTGACTCAAAAAGACACACAATGTTCAAATCATTTGTATTTCAGTTATGTGTCTTTGTGCCGGTTTTAAATTTTTTGGCCTCCATATCCTTTTTTAAATCTCCTTGTCGTTGCGTTGTGTCTCTTTGTAGTCAGTTTGCATCTCTTTGCAGTCATTATTGTATTGTTTCACATTATTTTGTCATTATTTTGGGGTTGATTGAGTGTCTTTTTATTCAATTTACGTCTCTTTATGGTTGTTTTGTGTCTATTTGTAGATGTGTGGTGTCTTTTCGTGGTGATTTGTGTCTTTTCGAACTCAGTTTGCGTTGCTTTGTGGTTGCTTTGTGGTTGCTTTGTGGTTGCTTTGTGGTTGCTTTGTGGTTGTTTTGTGGTTGTTTTGTGGTTGCTTTGTGGTTGCTTTGTGGTTGTTTTGTGGTTGTTTTGTGGTTGCTTTGTGGTTGTTTTGTGGTTGCTTTGTGGTTGCTTTGTGGTTGCTTTGTGGTTGCTTTGTGGTTGCTTTGTGGTTGTTTTGTGGTTGTGTTGTGGTTGCTTTGTGGTTGCTTTGTGGTTGTTTTGTGGTTGCTTTGTGGTTGCTTTGTGGTTGCTTTGTGATTTCTTTGTGGTTGCTTTGTGGTTGCTTTGTGGTTGCTTTGTGGTTGTTTTGTGGTTGCTTTGTGGTTGCTTTGTGGTGGCTTTGTGGTTGCTTTGTGGTTGTTTTGTGGTTGCTTTGTGGTTGCTTTGTGGTTGCTTTGTGGTTGCTTTGTGGTTGCTTTGTGGTTGTTTTGTGGTTTCTCAGTGGTTGCTTTGTGGTTGCTTTGTGGTTGCTTTGTGGTTGTTTTGTGGTTTCTTTGTGGTTTCTTTGTGGTTGCTTTGTGGTTGCTTTGTGGTTGTTTTGTGGTTGCTTTGTGGTTTCTTTGTGGTTTCTTTGTGGTTGCTTTGTGGTTGTTTTGTGGTTGCTTTGTGGTTTCTTTGTGGTTGCTTTGTGGTTGCTTTGTGGTTGCTTTGTGGTTGTTTTGTGGTTTCTTTGTGGTTTCTTTGTGGTTGCTTTGTGGTTGTTTTGTGGTTTCTTTGTGGTTTCTTTGTGGTTTCTTTGTGGTTGCTTTGTGGTTGCTTTGTGGTTGCTTTGTGGTTGTTTTGTGGTTTCTTTGTGGTTTCTTTGTGGTTGCTTTGTGGTTGTTTTGTGGTTGTTTTGTGGTTGCTTTGTGGTTGTTTTGTGGTTGCTTTGTGGTCACTTTGCGTTTCTTTCAATAATCTTTTTGACGTTACGGTCATTTGTGCTTCTTTTAATAATAATAATAATAATACATGAGACTTGTATAGCGCTTTTCTAGAAACACAAAGACGCTTTGACAGAGAATAAAAAACAATTAAAACAAACAAAATAAACAACAGTTTTTTGCTTTCCATCCATTTGTCAACAACTGCGGTTTCATATTTCTTTGTTGTGTCTCTTTGTTGTCAGTTTGCGTATCTTTGTAGTCGTCTTGTGTCGTTTCACATTCCTTTGTATATTTTGTCTTTATGTTCACTCGTGACTCTTTGTAGTGAGTTTGTGTCTTTTCAAAGTTCTGAGTTTTAATTGTATTACTTTGTGGTAACTCGTTTTTTCCTTGTAATCGATTTAGGTATTTTTGTCCTCACTGTGTGTTGATTCCTATTGTTTTATATCTGTTGACGTTGTATGTCTATTTGTAGTTGTTTCGTGTCTTTTTGGTAATAATCATGCATAGAAGCAAAATTCTCTTTTGTTTGAAAAACTGTTAATTAACACGTGTATTTATCACCTCGTACCTTTTCCTTGTAGCCCATGACAGAAAGATAAGTCTCATGTTTGAACACTCTTTTTGTCTGTTGTGTACATTTGTATTTTTCCCCATTCTTTTCTTCTATTTCTGTATTTTTCAAATAGGCCAATCAAACATGTTTTTTTTTTTAACTCAACTGTACATACTATTATTTACAGTGGAGATAAAGTAACAATCCCTCTGTGTGTAAGATAACACCTGCTCCACAGTTATGTGGTCCACGTCCACCACATGCCATTTAGGTTTATCACTCATTCAGTCACGTTTTCACTCTCACAATACGGGACAGAGGCAGCTGGGAAAAATATAAACCAAGGACAGACCCATACAGTGAGGTCGGCTGATCCTACCTGCCTCTGGCTCAGGATATGTAGTTCATTAAACTGATAATAGGAAAATGTGAACAATAACTTCCTGCTGGTGTAAGCAGTTTCACAATAGAGCTTCCCCTCACACACACACTGTCTCCCTCCAGTGCTTCCTCTGGGGACACTGCAGACCCAGTAGTTTTTTTAAATAAGCTGTGATATGGAGGATGCAAATACATGGAAAATACATTTAGGTTGCTGACCATCATTTAGAAACAATCTTATCCTATGAATATTATTTCAGTCAGACAACTCATGTGTTTCTTAATATGTTTATTATAAGCAGCATATAGTTTGAGTTTGGCGTCTAGGCTCGGGCCTCATCACTCCACAGATGTACAAAGAACATTGAGTGATGATTAGATAACTATCATCCCCCGAGCCTACAGGTGGAAGCTGAGGTGGTGGTGGGGCAGGCGAGCAGCAGCAACATGAAACACAGCAGCAGGAACATGAACGTAGCAATAGCACGTGAACACAGCAGTGGCAGCATAGCGAGGCAGAGGCAGGAAGACCTGGCTGCTTAAATAGAGCGGCATGTTTAGGAGAATGTGTTTGGTTGGTTGAAAGAGGGACGAGGTGCGTCACGTGGTAATGTATGATTGGTGCTCGAGTTGACTGCCTGAACTAGATCGCAGGCTTCGTCCCATTTCTGATACAAGCCATTTTAGTTTTCCAAGGGTGTCAGAAACTGTACTTGAATACACTTTTAGTTGCCTAAAAACATCCACTACTTTCAATGTTTAGCATTGAGAAAAAAAAACGATTAAATGGCAAAATTAAACAAATGAAGACAATTATCTTAAACCAGACCAATTGTCTATTGTGAAAGAAATATTACAATTTTTTTTAATGTAATGTGTGAGGCCAGGTTAACTGTCTATTCCTTATAAGTTAATAATCAGAATCAGAAAACTTTGTTTAATTCCGGGAGTTATTAGGTTTGGGGATAGTTGCTCCATTATAGAATTAAATAAATACATACAAATAAAACAATACAATAATAATATATGTTTTAATATAAGGAGGTAAGAGAAGGAATGAACAATAGAATACTTTTTAAATTATAAATAAACATGTATGGAATCATAAGAAGTTAAAGTTAAAATATAAAGTTAAACATTTATTTATAAACTAAAGATATTTATCACATAACATAAGAAGCTAAATAAAATGCCAAAAAAAAGTGAATGAAAATGTTCGTATAACCATAAGAAGTTAAAGTAAGAATGTGCAATACAAATATTTTAGAGAGCAGAATACAAATATTTATATTAATTGAAGTAAAAACTGCACAGTGTACTGCTGAATTATTTAGGTAGTCACTTGCATACATGAGGCACGGATCCAAATTCCTTGCTCTAAAAACCCTTTAAAACAGTTGGTACAAGGAGTAAGGCAATCTTTCTGAAAATGAGTGTGTCCATGTTTAGTTGAAATCAATACCGTTATGCGTGGAGCTTGAAGCACGCAGTCATAATGGCAAGCATTTACAGAGGAGAAGAATTGGACAGTTGTAAGACAGACCATAAATCTCATGAACCTTTGTTCTGGGTGTGAATGCAAAAAGCGCATGGACTGTTTCCAAAAACATTGATGGTTTCCTTCAGATTCCCTTTGTCTCACTGGGCCGGTGTTATCTCCCAGCAACATCTCCCCCAAGCAGCTGGGAATGTGATACAATGAGGAAATTACTCATCCAACAGGAACTTGTTGGCTTGTTTTCCAACTATTCTGCTCCTTGAAAGGTTGTTTTCTCCTACAAAAATGAAGAGCATACTACTAACATGTTAAAGGACTGGGCGGTGGCTACAGAAAATCCAACAATATATCATAAAATCCATGGGGTATGTAATGTATTGAAGGGGAGTCAATAAACATGAAAAACACTTTTCACGGTCATTTATTGATTTTCTGATTTAATATCTTAATATATTTTTTCCCAGTTATGTTTCTGTTTGTTTCAGGTTGAATTTATATTTAAATTCACTGTCATGTCTTTGAGTGGGAAACATTTACATAAAGTCACATTACCTTTTCGTGAGATTTAATTATTCCTCATTGCACTTTATACCCATATGTTTAGTTGAAACACGTCAAATATCTGTGAATCAGTAAATATTTTATAATTTACAACCAAATAGTCTTGGGTACTCTCCAGGCTGCAAAGGTAGACGACTTTGATTGAAAGTAAGCTGGATAGCTATTGTTTCCTTTTTGTATTCCTGGTTGTTTTTTTTTGCCTTATCCTTGAAGAGCAACAGATATTTGTATTTCAACATCACCAATATTTGGTTTCTTAACCGGTGCAGAGTCCAGCGATCCCTATTCTTTATTCAATATCATTTGATTGATACTGTCTTGATTGGTTGGTATTTATTATTCAATTTGGGCTTATGATGGAGCTCACCCCTGATATACAAGAAGATGACCAAATATTACTAGCGGAAATACATTTGTCCTAAATTGTGTTTTGGAATAACTGCCTTTGTATCGACCCTCACCATAACCCTTTCGGGACCCACAATAAATAACTCATAATGTCTCACTTACCCATTTATTGGCATCTGAATCAAGGCTAATGTTATTTATGGGACCGAAACAACATGTGAACTCTGTTTTCTGCAAACTGTAGGACCAGTACAAAGCGAGAGGAAGCATGTGCAAGGTGTCGTGCCAAGAGAGGACCCAATGACTTTGTGTTGACAGCAGAAGTGTTCGGGATACAGCAGGTAGGTTTATCACAAGCGCCTCATCAGCATGACCACCTTTCGTCTGTGGCTATCTGTCATCTTGTTTACCCTTTGTAGCGTTGCTTTGTGTGCAAAATGGGATGTTTACCTGGTGGAGACCACTACGTGCTTCCTGTCCCCACTCTGCACCACACTCTGAGAGTCAGGAACTGCAGTTTGTAGGCTAAAGAAGAGGCAGTTAGAACTTACAAAACTAGACATATTTAGCGACTTTGACAGCAGCTATGCACCAAAGGTACAGTGTGATTTGTCGTCTTACACATTTGCTTTGTAACCAGTGATTTGGGACTGATATTTATGATCCATATAGTAAAAGTGCTTCCGGACAACTAACAAACTCCATTTCACAGGTCTTTTCAGCAATCCTACCGTTCCACATCAGCAAGCAAAGGAGGACGTGGATCATCGAGAAAGATGTTTTTTATGGCCGGGGCCAAAAATAATGCAGGACGAAATGAAAGGAGGTAACCAATTCATGCTGAGAATTTGATTTGAAAGGGGACCTATTCTACAAAATGTCAGGTTCATAATTGTGCTGCAGCACCTCTTTTCACCCTCTGTCAGAAACCAAAGCCCAGTCTGCTCTGACTGCTTATCTGGCTAGCTCTTTTGTGATTGGTCAACCACTTAGAGATGTCCCGCCCCTTAGCCTATCAGGCATAATGTGTTGGAGGGCTAGGCGAGATGCAAATGTTACATAGTGATGTCATTTTGTTATCGGATGTAAACAAAGGAGTCCAATGGAGGTGTTTCAGGGGGGGGGGGGCACAAAAACATTTCATGCACAAAAACCTATATAACACACTATTGGAAAGGGAAAACCCCAAAAAGCATAATAGGGCCTCTTTAAAATGCAAAGGGGAGGAAGGGGGCATAACCAGGAAGAAGCTCATACCTATCGTGCAATTTTCATGTAACAATATTTGCACTGTAAGTTAAACTACATATTATATTGTCTCCTTTTTTAACTCAGCAGCAAGTCAATCTACCAGAAATTCCGTCGGGTAGATTTGTTGGACAAGAAGAAGACGGTGACGGCTCTGAGGCCCGGTGAAGATCGAGCCATTTTCCTGGGACTGGGAATGATCCTCTCTTCAGTGATGATGTACTTTGTCCTGGGGGTCACTATGTTACGCTCCTATGCAGACAGGTACAGGCCTGTTGTTAAATATCCCTTCATTTTTACACCCCATAAAGGAAGCTAAGTGATATAACTATCAGATACATCTTTTATTCATCAGATGCTTTCAGTGCTCTATCAACCTGAAAATTGCAAAAATTAATACTTTATGAAATCAGGAACAAATGATACCTTAAGCCATTTTCTTACCATGCGGAGGACTATTAGTGCCAGGCAAAAGGACAAGACGAGAGAGGGAATATTTTTGTTTTACTTTCTTTTTGGAGATGGATTAGGGAAATGTAGTTGAATTTATTCAAGTTTGGTATTTATTCCAACATATTTTGACTTTACTGTCAACATTTTGGTTTATTAACACCATTTCGACACTATTTCCTATAGTTGGACTTTATGTTCAACATTTTCTCTCAAAGTAGCATTTCTTAACACATTGAAATAGTTTTTTCACATTTTTGCTTTTTTACCCAACATTTTCTAGAATTTTTTTCTTTTTATCTTTTTTTTGGTATTAAATCGTTTTTTCATTTAAATCTCATCACAGTGTGTGGACAGAGGAAGGTGTGTGTGTTATACTGAACTCCACGATCACAGCAGACATGAACTGTTCCTACAACTGTGGGTCAGAGTGCTGGAGAGACTCCAAATACCCCTGCCTGCAGGTCTACGTGAGCGTCAATAACACGGGCCGTGTCAGCCGTTTATCTCACAATGAGGAGACACAGGACACCAGCTCTGAAGTGAGTACAGTGCCAGAGGGGAAAATACTGAGAATTACTGAAGCGTTACAAATGTTGACAATGGCTGTCAAATGTTGGCCTGATTGTAGACTTGCTCTGTTTCCGATTCAGAAAATGTTAGTTGATAGGATTATTTCTGGTCAAGCTGAACGATGATACATGAAGGTTGATGTATTCAATAAAGAACAAACCAACTGATTGCCCCCTAGATAACCTAAATGTCTTTCAATCCTGTCCTTGCAGTGTTTCTACGTGCCAAGGTGCCTGAAAGACAGCGTCGCCATGCATGTCATGATCATGAACATCTCAGAGCGTCTGAAGGTGAACCAGCAGGTCACGTGTTACTACGACCCCAGCGAGCAGCAGGAGAACGTTATCCTGATGCGGCTGTACGACCAGACCGTCGTCTTCCACTCGCTGCTCTGGCCCTCCAGCATGCTCATTGGAGGGGCCCTCGTCATCGTCATGGTGAAGCTCACACAGTACCTCTCCAGACTGTGCGAAGAGATAGGGAAGATCAAGAGATGAAATGCAATGCAGCAGCTGTCAAAGCCAAGCATATGGGGGCTGGTGATGGACATATGACATGGGATTAGTGCACCTTCTTCAGATGATATCAGCTCATTCAATGGCCGTCATCAGTGGCTGAGAGTCAGTATCAGTGTAAATATCTGGGTCAGAAGGGGCTTGACCTGGAAACCCATCGTCCATTGTTGTGACAATGATGAGTCTCTCAGGGCAACGACCAACTTCCCTCAGGTTTCCGGTGTAGCCAGTGAATATCCAGGCCATGATTTTCTTCTTCTGTGTGCCAATTGTTTACAGGCTGATTTGCAATTTGTGATGCGATATTGAAGTTAGATTTCAGAGACGACATCTAAGATTGGATTTATCCACAAGCTAATTTTAAATTAATTTAAGCTAAATTGTTGCGAAATGGTAGCCAATCGATTCTGAGATTGCATTCCGACCAATGTGTTCCCCCTATTTTGCTTCACACAGACTTCCTGCATCAATCCAAAGCTTCCTTAAGCGGGTTTTGCCCATTATACCTGGACTTCATGCGCAAACCAGAACTCATCCAATACCAAATTCTTGTCCAATGCTGCAGATTTATAATAATCAATAATAATAATCCATTTTATTTATAAGCGCACTTTTCATTTGCGTAAACAAACTCAAAGTGCTACAGAGTAAAAAGGGTGAAACAAAACAACAAAAACAATTAAAACAACAGAATAAAAGCAGTGACATTTATGCCGGCATGGCAAAATGTGGGGGTTATAGGATTTCATAATCTCTTTTTAGAGACTAGGTTCTGAACAAGATTATTGTCTTTTCAAACAGTAGCTCACCGATACAGGAACAAAAAGGTGGTGACCTCTAGCGGCACTTATAATGACGACGGAACAACGTTCGGTCCCGCAAAACCATTGACTGTAAATAGAAAGTGGTTATAGTCACCAATTGGTTTGGGAACTGGGTTATTTCTAAGTTCAGCATTTTGGTTGTCACCATATTGTTTTTTTTGGAAGAAAATACAAGAAACAATATTTGGACGAAACTGAGACTGACATTTGTAGGTGACCAAAATTGTTAAAACTTGTATTAAAACAGAGAAGGAGAAGGAGTTGAAGTTGTAAAACGAAAACATGGAGTATACTTAAACAACCAAATTACAATTGGGACCATAAACTCATTATATTTACTCAGATAATTACTCAGATGAGATGAAAGGGTATTTCCTCATAGGCAATATGAGTCACCCTTGCTAGCTATTGAAAAAAGAAATGAAGATTTAAGAAGCTTCCGTAATGTCTTCACTTTTCAGAACTGGGGGTTTTTCGCTCGGTGAAAACTAAAATATGAGATATGTTTACTGAAGTATTCTATTGTAACAACAACGTAGGCATACTTATTGTATCTTATTAAACCATAATCTTATACCTAAATCTTACCACACTGTAATTATGCAAAGATCTAAATAATTTTAAGTAAAACTTAACAAAACTGCAACCCTTTCATAATGTTTTATATGAAGCTTCTGGGCTAGGCAAATAATGGGAGCAGTTTGTCCCTTCTGAAGCAATAGAGTGAAAATGAAAACAACTGAATAGGCCATTTGATGGCTTGATAGCACTCATAAAAGGTAATTGTTTAAACCCAACAACCTTGCTGTGGCCTCTTACAAGCTTCCTCAGGTTCAGACATTTGGGAGAGCTGACTATTTGTCTGGAACGAGGATGTGACTGTTTATAAATGTGAAGTGAATGTTTCAAGGCGGAAACTGTCAACAAAAACACTGCATTTTGAATGGTTTTTAAGCATTATGAAGGGTTTTATGGATATTTGTTCACAAGAGTTCTTTAAATGTGTAAAAATTGTATGTTCTATAAGTGTACGTTTGCTTTTGCACATATAATACTCAGGACAATACCAGCATGTATGCCAAAGGGAGAAAACTCTTGATGTTAGTCCAAAAATGGCTGAGGAACTTACCATTTTGAGAACTTCCCCATACTTCCTATATTTTGATAATAACATGTAATCGTAAATGATTTTATTTTATATCCACTATGTCAGCGACCAAATAATATTTGTAAGCCTCCCATTATGAAATGTATTTAATAAATAAACATAAGGTGATGATGATTTTTGTTGGTCATGAGGTTAAAAAAACTATAAAAATGAAGCTCACCAAACCACAATAAACATATAAATGCATAGTATTTAATATACGTTGCATATGCTTGACATTTCTTATGTATTGAGATGTTATAACATAATTTATACTTGCAGATTTGCAGGATAAACATATAGGAAGTCAAATAAATAAATTATCAGGTCAGGTTCTCACAAGTTCACCTACAGGTCATCTCATGAATATAATCAGTAAATAAATCAAAATGAAAAATACACACAAGACCTCCTATATGTCCTATTAGACCAATACAAATATATTAGGCAAGGTAAGGTTTGTATTTATCCACAGAGGCGGTTCAATGTGCGTTATATAATGACATTTAAAAAAGACAATGATAACACAACAGTGCATACAACATGTTTTTTAATTAAGGAAAAGAAAGAAAAACAAAAGGGTATAAATTAAAACAAAAAAAATTAAATAAATAATGCTAATTAAAAATACATGGATAATAATGAAAAAATAAATTGCTATTACATATATCATTACATGTGTAATTTAGTTTAAAAGGCAGTCATGAACAGTCTTAAGCTTGCTTTTATAAGTAGTTTCACTTAGTGCCGATGTAAGATATTCAGGCCGTATGGTCCAACAAATGTCATAATAACTCAAATAGTTTCACTTTATGCGAAGCAAGGGTCAGTGGGTGTCATATGCTGTATACATTGTAGAAGGCACATTTGAGGTTTGTGGTATTGGGGCATTTATATAAATTAAACTGATTTGTCCTAACTTAACTTACAAATCTAACTGTCTACACAGCATTACCATTGTTCTGGGAAATTATCTGACCAGTTCCAGCTTACCCAAGGAAGATGTGAATTCAGATTCCTTCAAAATGTAGAACTTCTCTCTATAGCATAAAATAAATGTCAATTATATAACCGACAAGAAGCCAGCAGAGACTAGGGAGTCATGTGTTCGGCTCTCTTGGCCTTTGTTCGAACTCTAGCAGCCTCTCTGAAAGAACTGAAGCCTTGGAGCTTTCTCTGAAAGATCTTTGATATGTTGCTGACTTGTAACTCTGCCTATGGCCTGCTATAAGGTCCAACTGAATTCCATTGAAATGTAACTTCAAAGTTACACCATAAAAAGCGGGGGAAATATAGTGTCAATGTGGAAGCATTAAAACATTATGCAATTAAAATGAATGACTCATACAAGTCTCAATAATACTTCTCCTCATTCCAGTTTGTATCTGGGGGCTCCATCCACACACATGCTGGTAACGGGATTTGCTATGAGCTCTGCTGAATATGACCGTATCATATAGTGACATATACATATTTGGGAGTGTTTTTCATGCGCACTTTAGTAATATTTGTATTGAGGTTTTTCATGTCCAATGGCAGAAAACAGCGAACAAGCGGCTTCCCTTCCTATTCTCATGTCATGACAAAGTGCTTCCTCCAGCTAACGTAAACTCGCTGTATGTGGGACTTCCATGGTGTGGGAGGGCGCTCCATGATGATGAGCCTGCTAGCAGCCTTTGAGCAGAATAGCTGTGTGGAGCTAGCGTGCTACCGAACTGTGCAGTTCATTTTCGGGACCGCACGATGAAGAACATCATGAAGTATTATATACTTATTCCGCCTCAGCGTTTTGACAACATCATTGGGAGCTAGGGGCGTCTTTTTTCCTACACGGCGGGTCCGTCCCGACCCCTCGGTGTCATTGTTTGGATGGATTAACGTTAGAGCTAGCCCCTCTGTTTGAGACTTCCCGAGCGGGCACAAACGGGACACTCGGCTAGCCGCTGCTAATGATTCTGCTGGAACATTAGCTTGGCAGCTAACCGGTTGGCTAACTGACAGAGGTAGCTTTATATTTGTTTTTGTCATGGTTTGTTGAATGTTCGCGTTCCTTGTTTATCAAAGCAGCTACCCACTTACTTCCACGACACATGGTCGGGTCGCACCCTTTTATTGAAGTAACGTCAGTGTAACATGGTTATGTATCAGGCGAGGTTTTTATATTGTAGATGACATTGGTCTGCTTACTGAACTTGGCTAGCATGGTAAGCTAGCAAGCTAAGAAACAACACCTAACACACCAAGCAGCAGCACAACATAGTCGAGATGTCTGTCAAGCCCAGGCTAACAATCTACAACTAAGCCATTCTTTACTAACGAGTGGGTAATGCTTGTTCGTTAATGTGTTTGTTTACATTATTTTTGTCCCTAAATTCGACATCACTAGACATGTCTATCGCTGCTCTCCTTGAGTTAACATGGGTTTAACACATAGACTGTATATATAAAGGTTTAACACCACATCACTAAAGCGAAAGTTTCTTTCATACGTGTTTGCGGTCTCTGATGTGATTACACGTTATGTTGCCTTGCTAAAATGATAATAATTAAAACAATACAGTCAAATGTTGAATTCATGCTAGTTTCAACGTTAGTTAGCCAGCTCATTTGTTATAAATGTGTTGCTATCTTAAATTACTATACATAATGGCTATGTGCAGAGGTGGAAGAAGTACTCAGATCTTGTACTGAAGTAGAAGTAGAAGTACCAGAGGGTAGGAATACTCTGTTACAAGTAAAAGTCCTGCATTCAAAATATTACTCAAGTACAAGTAAAAAAGTATTAGCATCAACATATACTTAAAGTACCAAAGAGTACTCATTATGCAGATTGGCCCATTTCATATATTATATGTTTTGATTATAATTATTGATAATTAAAGTGTTATCAAAGCTGGTAAAGATGCAGCTAATTTTAATTACTTTATATACTGCAGGGTAGCTTGTCAATTCTCATCAGGTGTAACTAAAGTCTGATTTAAATGTCTTGATTATATTTCACATCATTAATCCAAATCTGCAAAGTATCTAGAGATATTAAATAAATGAAGTGGTGTAAAAGTAAACTATTTACTCAAGTAAATTACAAGTCTCTCAAAATTGTACTTGAGCACAGTACTTGAGTAAATGTAATGAGTAACTTTAACCCACTGGCTATTGGCAATATGGTTAGCTCAAAAACAATATGAACAATATGCAGTGGTGCTACAGAGATTCCTCTGTTATGCAATTTTGGAATTTCACAATATGTTTGGCATCCCATGTTAAATTGGTGAAGTGTGTATTTAGAATTGCTGCCTCTATGCAACTCTAGCATCACTTAGGTCAAATGGTTACCACAAGCGTTTTGCATTATTGTGCACAGGTCAGTGGTTCTTATATAATTCTGCTTCCTTCTTTCTGGCAGTTGGTCGGCATCGCTCATCTGATAATTACCGGGCTCTGAAAATAGCAGATTTGTGACGACCATGCCTCCAAGGCCCTCCTCAGGAGAACTATGGGGGATGCACTTGATGCCCCCCAGCATCTTAGTGGACTGCCTTCTGCCAAATGGCATGATTCTCACGTTGGAGTGCCTCCGGGAAGCCACGCTGATCACAGTCAAGCATGAGCTATTCAAAGAGGCCAGGAAGTACCCGCTTTACCATCTGCTGCAGGAGGAGAGCTCCTACATCTTTGTCAGTGTAACCCAGGAGGCCGAGCGGGAGGAGTTTTACGATGAGACCAGGAGGCTGTGCGATCTCAGGCTCTTCCAGGCCTTCCTCAAAGTCATTGAGCCAGTGGGAAACAGGGAAGAGAAAATTCTCAACAGAGAAATAGGTATGGTTCTTCAATTATTATACAGTTACAAACACCTTACTGTGCTTTACACTAATATAGTGTAACAACCATTTGCCTTGGCAATGTCATTACCAGCAGAGAGGACTATACATAACACTGTTGGCTGGAAGAGAACATTTGGTACCTCTTTATGTGGATGCACAATGAATATATATATATATATATATATATTAGGGCTGTCAAACGATTACAATTTTTAATCAGATTAATCACAGCTTAAAAATTAATTAATCATGATTAATCACCATTTGAACTATGTCCAACATATGCCATTTCTTTATGTATATTGTTGTGGGAATGGAAAGATAAATGAAAGAAGGCGGATATATCCATTTAACATACAGTATCTATGTTTATTATAACATTGTTCTGTGTGTCAAAATGAAAGACAGCCCACACACCTATCAATCATCAAACCGTGGGGTCTTAATTCATTACGTGTTGATTTCTATCAACACGTAATTTTGTATCGATGTATATAGAGATGTACTACAGCAAAAGTATTCTCCGTCGGAACTTCCTGCAACAACACCACGCCGTTATCTTGATTCTGATTGGCCAGAAGACATTATCAAAGATGTTCTATCGAGAAGACGATCACTACGTGACAAAAGTTTTCAAACCCGTTTCTAGTCTTCGGTATTTCCAGACAAGTGGCTACTGAAATCAATCTCACTAACTTCTGTCTGTGCAATTTACTCCGCGCGAGTTGGCGGACTTTATTTTGCTTACTTTAACATCATTGTTCATGGTGGGGCTAAGCCATTTCTTGGTATGGGTGTAGCCTACCCCAGCCATACCCTGGCGCTGCCACTGGTGGGATGTATGGGGCGGGCCATTCTGCGCATGCGTTAAATGCGTTAAATATTTTTAACGCAATTAATTCAAAAAATTAATTACCGCCGTTAACGCGATAATTTTGACAGCATTTATATATATATATTTTAAAATATGGACTAGTTTTCCATAGACATCGCAGTAAACAGAATATTCAACAAAGGCAAGAAATGTGAAAATGTCAATCTTAAAAAGTATTGTGGTGCTGCAGAGAAATCTCGGCCTACAAACCGTATTTTATAGTAAAAACACCCCCGTGTTAGGTCCACAACCCTTTTAAAATATCACATCATGATCATTTTAATATTTGTTTTAATGATGATCTGAACTATGTTTAAATCTAATATTGCAAAACATATTGCGCAATTGCAATAACAGAATCAGAATCAGAATACCTTTATTAACATATATTCACAAAATTCACATTTGTTACAGCAAAGTTCAAAAAGTACACATCTAGGTAAAGAAAAATTTGTAGCATTATCAGATTTGAGAAAAAACAAGTGTAGAATGTAGTGTGATAGCAGTCAGATATCAGTAGTTAAAACATTAGTAAAAGTATATATCAGTCAATATAATCGCCACAATTATTTTTCTCCAACTTGTGGAGCCCTAAAATCTAGGCTGAAGTCGAATAGTCCATTTAGCTTAGGAACCTTCCTAAAGGAGTGAAATGACCCGGAAGTCCCTCAGTGGCAGCCATGATAAGAGCCGTTCCAGTTCTCTAGATCAGGGGTTCCCAACCTTTTTTCCCAAGAGCCCCCCCAAATGACTCCTGTTGGAAGTTGCGCCCCCCCCCCCCCCCCCACACACACACAAGGGGGGGGTAGCGGTAATTAAAGTTTAAAAGTCTCAAAAATGCTACAACTACTGTAACAAACTAGATGAATGTGAAGTATTTTGTTAAAGGCGGATGAAAGCGTAATTAAGGAGCACTATTGGAGTGACTTTGATGGTTATTGGACTCAGGATTAATTCATTTGGATTCCCGCTGTATGAAGAAATGAAAGGACGGCGCAAGTGGAAACAATTCGCAAAGGGATTAAACTGTTTAAAACACATGCTCAAAGTAAGCCGGATTTTGCCGATGTGTTTATGTGGATTAAAAAATCATAATAATCCACAAAATGGAGGAGACAGATCTGATCGGAGCAACTGTGACAGAAGAATCATTTATATTGCAGAACAAATTATACATTTCTGTCTTTTTATGCCTATATTAGCTACTAACTTGAATTTGTATTCAAATTAATTAATCAATTATTTTTTATATTTTATTGTAATGTAGAGACAAGGCTTTTAGTGACAATCATGTATTGCCTTACAATTATATGTAAAAAAAACAAAACAAATCTAAATATAATATTTGGCCTCAAATCATCTGAGGCCCTGCGATCTTTGCCCCCCCCCCCCCTAGTGGGGCGCGCCCCCCAGGTTGGGAACCACTGCTCTAGATGATAGGAAATGAGGTTTCAAACTTCCTTTATAATCTCCTTTAGTTTAGGAACCACTGGACCTCCCTCACCGAAAGGAGAGGAGAAAATGCTGCCCCACAATCCCTTGCAGCTGCAGCATTTGCGTCACACAACAGTCGGCCGAGAAATTATATCATGAAAGTTACGGTGCTTATTAAGCTTTTTAAAACGGTAACTTGTTTTGAACGATTTTTGGATTATCCGACCGCAACCCTAGTCTATTGAAACAGATAATTCCTTAGTGCTTAGTTTATCTGCACGCAGCTCCTTGCCTCCATGTACCAGGATGCATTGCTCTGAAGTGGCGGCACATTACAGCTTCACACTTTTCAGATTGTACGTTTCACATTAAAGCCTGCCTTAAATTCATTCAGCTTTGGGCTTTTCTGGCTGCATTTTCTCAACAGCACACTGGCTCTAATAAATAGTGCTGAATATCCAAATCAGCCAAAACACTGTACAATGCATCATCTTCCATGACATCCTCTACACTCATGTGTGGAGATTACATTGTTGGTGTTGGAAACTAGTTTCCAATGTGAACAAAGCAAACAAGGAAAGTCTGTTTATTTAATAACTTTGTTTACATAATTGAAATTACGACAAGGAGGTTTTTTTTTTTTTTACGCCCACTGAATATCCAGAGAAATCTGACCTGAGCTAGTTTGTAGTTCTTCCTTGCCAGCAATTCTGTCACAATCTTATCAAATGGCCCGGCTGGATGCAGGAGAACTCAGAATTGTTGCTAAATATAGCACAAGCTAAGGAATTTATTACTCCAATGGACTACATTTGACACCATCATCAACACCGATGGATGTGTGAAAAAGTGGCAGATTTCTATTTGTGATCAGATTGCAGCGCAGTGACGTGTCCTAAAACCCGGAAGTAAGCTTCTTCCGGTTACTCGTCAAAAACGCAATGCCGTTTCTCCATAGGATTTTAGAAAATAGCTGGAAATAAGGTCTGTGGTTGAGACACATTTAAGAGACGGATCACGTTTTGTTCAGTCGGATAATATCCACATGTCTACCCTAATTTTATCATTTTATAATCATAAATCTATCGATTAGATTAAGAATTGAAAGTAAAAATGTACCACAATATATTAAATGTATACTACAGTATATACAGTGGTGACTAAAACATACTTTGATATAGGTGTATTAGTATAAATTAGATGCTAATGCTACATTTCACAGTTAAAAAGGATTAGGTAGCTTATAATGAATAATGAATACGCCATGGCTCACATGTCCCGACAAAGAAAATGTTTTATTAAGCATTAGTTTTTCCTTTCAGGTTTTGCGATTGGAATGCCAATATGTGAGTTTGATTTGGTGAAAGACTCAGAAGTGCAGGACTTCAGAAGGAACATTTTAAATGTTTGCAAAGAAGCCATAGACCTCAGAGACTGTAACGGACCCCACAGCAGAGCGCTGTACGTGTACCCCCCCAATGTAGAATCCTCTGTGGAACTCCCCAGGCACATCTATAACAAGCTAGATAAAGGTAAGACATTTTATATGAGGCAAACATTCACACTTTTGCTATGTGCACCTTTTTTCTGTGTACAAAAGACATTTCTTCAATCTCTTTTATTTCCATCCCTCAGGTCAAATCATTGTCGTCATATGGGTGATTGTGTCACCCAGCAATGACAAGCAGAAGTACACCCTGAAGATCAACCACGACTACGTGCCGGAGCAGGTGATCGCTGAAGCCATCCGGAAGAAGACGCGCAGCATGCTGCTCTCCCAGGAGCAGCTGAAGATGTGTGTGCAGGAGTATCAGGGGAAGTACATCCTCAAAGTGTGCGGCTGCGACGAGTACCTGCTGGAGAAATACCCTCTGAGTCAGTACAAGGTAATCTGATTTAATCTCACTGCGTCTGATGCTATTGTATTTAGGAGAGATACACGTCGCATTACATTATCATCCCACATAAATATGCCTGGCATTTGTCACATGGAATTTGATTTAGGAGAAAAGGAGCTGACTCCAGAGTAGATTGTACACCCGTCATAATCTATAAGTAATAAGAGCAAATGTTACAGTAATGCTTATTTGTACTCAAATCAAATAATAAACATGTTGACACATAGGGCTGCAACTAACGATTAGTTACATTATGGAGTAATCGGCAAATTAGTTTCTCAATTATTCGTTTGTCAGTCTATAAAAGATCCGAAGATATTGAAAAAGTTTTATCCAAGTTTCCCAATATCTAAGTTTATGTTTTTAAATGTTGTATTTTGTCACCCAAAGGTATTCATTTGTATATCATATAGAGAAGAGAAAAGCAGGGAATCTCATATTTAAAGGCTTTAAAAACCATACAAAAATAGTTTTAAGGTATTTTAAAAGTTAAGAATCCACCAGCTCATTCACCCAACCTTCCATTTATTTAAGGAGGAAAACAACAATGACAAAAAGGAAGAAATCAAGCTTACAAACTGATTAAACAAAACAACAAAAATGTATGACAAAAAAACAACACAAAATGAGTTGATAAATGAACCAATCATTACACAGCAATACAAAATAAATCAAAACAATACAAAATCAGAATCAAAAATCATTCTTCATATACAAACAAAGGGCACAGTGCAGATACAGTTGATGAGTAGACTGACATATTTGATAAAGAGGCACACATTTATACAATAAAAATAGTACACAACTAAGGTATAAAATGAAGTAGCAGTGAATATATGTTAGTGTTAAAAGTGAGTGAATATATGTAAAACAGTTAACTAGCAGCCAGTTATAACAATATTTAAATCAGGGGTGGGGAACCTTTTTCCTCTCAAGGGCCATTTCAATTTTTACAATATCCTCAGAGGGCCGTACAAATTATTGACCTCTGCTTAAAAAAACTAAAATCACAGCCCACTCATTTCATTCTGTGCAAAGAAAAAGCAACCTCTTAATCCAGATATCTCACCATGACTCGCGTATGCATGCACGTGCACGGTGTGGCGTGACCACCAAACAGAAAGATATGGACACAAGATGTGTGCAAATGTATTTAGACTCCTATCCATGTGAACATGATTTAAATGGGGGGGAGCTAACCTCCTCTAGGGGGGTCCGGGGGCATGCACCCCCGGGAAGATTTTTTTTAAAATGTTGATGTTAAAAGTATCAATCTGGTGCACTTTGAGAGCAACATTAGATCTATGGATACATCTCTCAACACCCATATGAAACAGAACTGTAAGCAGATTTATTTTTCTTTATGAATATTTGAGAAATCACTCTCCTTTCAAACTGTATTCTTGTTTATTAATAACAACTTTTTTTTACTGTCATATAGTATTTTATACCCGTTTACTTTATTCTCTTATTTTTTTATAACTATAATGATCATATAAAGATGTGCCTTTACCTCACTGGTTGTAGAAAAAGCTTCTTATATTCGTTAGCATAGCTAGCTAACCAGATGCTAATAACAACAAAGTTATTGACTGTATGATCAGTATGACAGATGAACAGATCGCCACTGGGCTTTCAACTAAAGACACAGACACGCAGAAACTGCAGCATGTGTACGGCTCCTTATGGGTACTGCAATTTCTGAAGTGCTGGAGCCGCGTTCTGGTGCTCTCAGTCAGAACTGCACCCCTGTCAGTCGAGACATATACCATGTGATGACACGTTAGGCTCGTGTTGTGTTCAAGGACCCTGACCTTGGCCAGGAAAAACAGGCACTCGCTTGTTTAATTTTTTTGCGGTTTAGATTTCTTACATTTTTTTCTTTTTTGCATGTGTTTATAAATTACCTCGAGGGCCGTACCAAATTGTCTCGCGGGCCGTATACGGCCCGGGGGCCGGAGGTTCCCCACCCCTGATTTAAATAGAACAAGTTGCAAATGTTATTTCACAACAGTGTTGTTACAGTCTAAGGCAGTGTTTCTCAAACTTTTTCATACCAAGGACCACTTAACCAATAAAAAAACACTCGCGGACCACCTAACTCCACAAATATCCAAAAACACATTGTTTTTTATAAATCGCCTGAAAATGGTACAAACAAGTGGCCACATGTGTGATGAAGGTGTTTATCTGGGCTATATCATGCAATTGAAAGTGAAACTTAAGCTCCCTCCATTGCGGAGATATTCCCGCGAGAGTGCGGAAAACTTTAATTAATTAATTAATTTCAAATGTGAAAATTTACCAATATACTTACGGACCACTAGGGGGCGCTCACGGACCACCAGTGGTCCGCGGACCACACTTTGAGAAGCACTGGCTAAGGTATTCAAGTAGCAGTCAGTTGTTACAATATTAAACTCTAGAAAATGTATACAGTGTATAAAATGTTTTGAATTATATATATAAGTGTTATTGCACAACAAAGTTGGAAATGTATTAAAAACGAGATATACACATACATTATTAGACATAATTAGTCCATTAGATGTCATGAAATGTTTTCTCTTCTGCCATCGATGCATGAATAAAGACGTAAACAATAAACAATCCTAATATATTCGCTGTTTATTTTCCTGTTGCTTGGTTGACTAAACGTTGCAGCTCTGTTGATGAAACTGGAAATATTTGCATGGCTTCAAAATGTCACTCTGTGTGTCCTTGGCAGTATGTGCGCAGCTGCATCATGCTGGGACGGATGCCCAACCTGATGCTAATGGCGAAAGACAGCTTGTATTCCCAGCTGCCCATAGACAACTTCACCATGCCGTCATATGCCAGGCGGATATCCACAGCCACGCCCTACATGAACGGGGAAACAGCCACCAAGTCTCTGTGGACCATCAACGGAACGCTGAGGATCAGAATACTGTGCGCCACCTACGTCAACGTCAACATCAGAGACATTGACAAGGTACACCGCCGCGGTGCTGTGACGACTACAGCGTGTTTTATTTATAGCCCCCCCGGCTTTGTTCTGCTTTGACGAATATAAAATGTGACTGTAAAATATAAATAAAATCTGTCTCACATCTTCTGTCTTGAAAGTATTAGAAGATCTTGCAAAGTGTTATGTAGTCAGTGAAAGATATCCTCAACTCTCGAAGGATTAGTAAAGAAGAAGTGTCTTTCTTCGGGTTGCTCTAGATCTACGTCAGGACCGGGATATACCACGGTGGAGAGCAGTTGTGTGACAACGTCAATTCCCAGCGTGTTCCCTGCTCCAACCCCAGGTATGAACAGTGAAGAAAAATGTGATTTCATTTTGTGTGATATTTTTTCAATTCTTTGTATTCACATTGACCAGGTGCAGGGCCCTATTCTGCTCATTTTCAGCTTCCATATTTGTATTTAGTGCCTCTACTGTGACATGTCTCCATGCCTTAAAGGTCCCATGTCATGCTTGGGACCCGTCCCCTTGTGTGTTATGAAAGTTTTTTATGCATGTAAACGGTCTGCCGTCAGCCTATCACATACATTGTTTTGGAGCGCTAGCCAATAGAAGCTCGTGTTACCTAGTGATGTCATTATATAACGGAAGAAAAAAAAGGATTTCGTTTCAGACAGAGGGGGGGGGGAGCAGTTTGGGAGAGAAACTCTCAGGAGGGTACACAGGGATTTTAGCCTTTGCAGACCATTTACATGCACACAAAAAAAAACAATATAACAGAAAAAGGAAAACCCCACAAAGCATAATAGGACCCCTTTAATGATAAGGGCAATTGAGGGAGAATTCCTCTGGGGCATTTTGGATTATTCTTTGATACTTGTGCCCTTGATAACCCTTCAAAAGGTATGTGTTGCATTTTTGGTGCTTGGTTATGCTAATAAGCCCCTTCCTATTTCTCCCAGGTGGAACGAGTGGCTGAACTACGAAATGTACATTCCAGACATCCCCTGCGCTGCCCGGCTCTGCCTCTCCATCTGCTCTGTGAAAGGAAGGAAGGGAGCTAAAGAGGTTAGCAGCTTGATCTTTGCGTTGGTTGATTTGACAACATTGTGGTTACTGGTGGTTATGACAAATGTGTCGAGCAAAACCTCCTTGCATGCATTTTTCATGAACAATAACCTCAGGGACAAGTGCGTTGCGGTTCCTGTGTCCATGTGCTTCATAATAAAAGCATTCACCAGATAAACACTTGAAGCAACAGGAGGAGGACATGTTGTATAAGCAGTGAGGGAATACAGCTCTGACACTGAGTACATCATAAACAGTGAAGCTGGATTATATACATGCATCATTATCCTGTGACCCCGCATGCGTAGGTAGGCGATTTCAATCTAGGGCTGCATTTGTGAACTTCAGATGGGAGCAGCGCTACGTGACGGCCTGCCGAAATAACGGCCCAGCCCCCTTTAGGGTGAAAACAAATAATTGGTGCCAAGAGGACAAAATAATTGTATCATGCCTAAAAGCTGCCATGTCATATATATTGCAGTCAAACAACAAAAAGATCATATTATGTATACTTTTACTTAGTATAAAGGAGGATAAAAGTAAATATCTGTGGCATCAGGCCCTCCACAGAGAGGAAGGAGATTGTATTCAATGGGACAGTGAATACTAGACGTCTGAGGGAAACACTTTATCACATTATGATGCTATTGAGGTTAATCACAGTCGTGATAATGTTATTTTTTTTCTCTCACTGGAACACACTGGGAACCGTTCACATATACAAGCTTCTTCTTATTAATTGTTGTCTGCGAGTTTCTGTAACACCTGCTAGTTCTCACAACAAATTCCTAATGTTGTAACATTAATTATCAATAATCTGTGTCTTAAACTTTCTAAATTCATGAAATGTAGCAATTTGGGTCTGGAAAATCCTCAAAAAGTCAGATATTAAACTCAGACTTTGTAGGGATCTTAATTGTATAATGTTTAAATTCAAATAAGTGCTGTTACGATTAGCTGATTTACAAAATGTTTGAATCCATTAGTCGTTATTGTTTATTTTGTACAAACATGACAGAAAGTGATGTTCCATCAATTCATCAATGATAATAACCCTTAGTTGCAGCCCTTAAGTTGTTATTCAAATCTTTTCATGCTTCTTGTTTGCATTTAATCAGTTAACAAAGGATAATGAATGGGTGGATGGGAAGTAAACCACTTCCCCTTGTTCAACACCGCACCTGTTTGTTCCATAGCCCCGAGCTGTTGCGTCTCATATCATTTTCATATGCATCATCTAAATGGTATTTTCCTGCAGGAGCACTGTCCTCTCGCCTGGGGCAACATCAACCTGTTTGACTACACCCACACACTGGTAGCAGGGAAGATGGCGCTCAACCTGTGGCCTGTCCCCCACGGCATGGAGGACCTGCTCAACCCCATCGGAGTCACAGGCTCCAACCCCAACAAGGTGAAAAACTAATGTCATCATGAACATCTTTTGTCATCATTTTAAGGGTAACAAACAGTTTGACGGACAAGTATAGAGTGGTGCAGGGACAAGTCCTAAAATCCAGAAATGTCTTAATGATTTTTTATTAGTTGCCTCAAATAAGATCTATGGTAAACACAAGGTTGGGATGCTTTCATGTTTTACTCTACGACATAAAGAACGTCAGTAAATACCCCACCGTCGAATGTCTTAAGCTTTTACATGTCTTGAAAAGGGCTGTTGCTAACAAGTGGCAAAATGAGACTACTAAACATTACGTCTTCAGCTTAGCAGTGGTGATGCACAGCAAAGCGACTGTGATTTAGTTTGTTTATATGTGTCATAAAAGCGGCGGTTGCTAACAAGATACTGGATGAGAGTACTTAGCTTGTGTACAGCCTAACGTTAGGTTTTCACTTCAGGCGATTGCATTTACGCTCTTAACAAATCTTAAAAGTGGTGTTAATACGTAGAGATAATCCTGATGAATAAATGTGTAAGTATCATAAACGTGTGTTTGCCACAGGATTTATTCCCGGGAATATTCTAAAATCCCAAAATGCTTTTTGTCGAGGGAGCCCTTGCAATACTACTTCCTGGTCGGCCTACACAAATATTCTCTCTTTTGGAATGTTTTCTCAGTGGAATAGAAAAGACATAATAGCAAACAAAATACAAATGTCTTTATGCCAAAAATACTCGCATATAAATAATAGGATTTAAATTTCAGTTACTTCAATCTTGAAATTCTAAAATGGTAGAACAACGTGGCACTAGGGGTGTAACGGTTCACAAAATTCACGGTTCGGTATGTACCTCGGTTTGGGGCTCACGGTTCGGTACGGGTTCGGTACAACAAGAAAAAGCAAAAAAAGTCCCAAATGCATAATTCCAGGTTTGTTTTTTATTTATTTTGAACAGTAGTGCAAGTTTCAGTTTAAAAATAAGGAACTCTGACATTTTGAATAATTAACTTTATTGCAGTTAAAAACAAACCACAAACAGTACCACACACACTCAGATGGCCATATTATCTATAATGGCTGAACAAAAAGGTTCAGCTGTAAAACTAAAAAGAATGTCTTGAAAATATTACAAAATAAATAATAAGATAGTGATTCAATCACAATCAATAAAAGCCGGGGTCCTCTACTATGGCAGCATAGCCGTTGAAAAACATATGCCAAAAGCTTCCGTTATTTCTTTTGGCTTTCATGTCTATTGGTTCTTAAAAACAGCGGGGATCAGCTGTTGAACTGCTGCTGTCTTTTGCCGGGCTCCAGTGATTGGCAAATCTGGGTGATACCTTCTGATATGATTTAGCATGTTTAGCGTGTGTTACCATTAGCATACCGCACCGCTGTGGAACAACGCCGACACACCGTCCTCGTCCGATCCACCGCTCGCACTCCATCGTTATTTTAGTCCACAGGGAACCCGAAATGTTCCCACACAGCTGATTTAAAAGAAGCAGGTGACCGGGGTTGCGTTCCGATAATCCAAAAATCAGCTCCTAAATTCTAACCCTATCTCCTATTCCTTGACCTCTGAGTGAAACGTCACAGGGTTAAGTGATAGTGGATAGGAGAATTCAAAAGGACTTAGGAGAAGAGACCGCGGTACTTTAGAGAATCCGAATGCACTTTCACTATCCGACGTGTTTATGATGCGCCAGCAGACGTCATGAATGTGCGTCTGCTGCTGTGGGGAAACTATGGAAACTACAGTTTTCTATACAGCGGACTACAACATGGATGTATAATAAGAACGAGGGACTACTGTAAACTCATCTAGAGACTGCACCGTGCTCTGATGCTGTTGCTTTATGCTTTATGAACGTGGACAACAGAGAAACATATTCTTCATGACCAAAGTTGGAATTGAAATAAAAAAGGAAAGTGAAACTTATGCTCGTCACCCTCTCCCTCCGGTCCACATTAATACAAATGATCCCAATACGTATGATTGTATGAAAATATCTTAAAATCAATACAAATGTATTTATTATAAACGTTAGTCCTTAACATCTATCACTGTGTATATCACCATTCAAACATCTTTTAAAAGTTGAACAAACCCCACACAGCTCAGTAAAGACTGTGAGATGTTGACTTTATTTGATCATTTCAGTAAAAACTAACGTTCATATTTCTCTTTTTGATTATAATACTGATGAACGTTCAGAAAAAAGCACTTTGGCAACTTACCACATACGTTTTAAAATGCTTAATAAGCACCGTAACTTTCATGATATCATTTCTCGGTCATAATCGGTTGTTTCCGTGAACAGCCGACTGTTGAGTGACGGCAAATGCTGCGGCTGCAATGCATTGTGGGGCAGCATTTTCTCCTCTCCTTTCGGTTAGGGAGGTCCAGTGGTTCCTAAGCTAAAGGAGGTTATAAAGGAAGTTTGAAACCTCCTTTCCTTTCATTTGGAGAATTGGAACGGCACTTATCATGGCTGCCACTGAGGGACTTCCGGGTCATTTCACTCCGTTAGGAAGGTTCCTAAACTAAATGGACTATTGGAATGCAACCAGGGTCTTCTAGCTCCTGTGTTGTTCTTCATTTTTTGTTTAAGGGCGGCTGGCAAACAGCTTTTAGGCGCAATACCGCCCCCTGGATTATATATAGTGAATGACAGACTTTTTTCCCACTCGTAAAAAAAAGGCGTGTTTGTCGTGTGACTGCATGCACCGAACCGTGACGTCCGAACCGTGACGGTATGGGACGGATACCGTTACACCCCTACGTGGCACCAAACATAATCTTTTCAAAGCTTTTCAAATATGTATCACGCTCGTGTCTGCTCTGACCTCTAAGCCTCATGACTCATTTTTAATCTAAGTGCTGATGACCTGTAGAGTTTCAGAGGTGAATCTAAGCCGCCTCGGTTTAATCAGCCAAGCCTCTTATCTTGCTTAATTAAAGACTCATTGACACAGGCCTTGTTCTTTGATTACTAATTCTCCTTCCACAACCTTCTCAATCTGCAGGAAACCCCATGTCTGGAGCTGGAGTTTGACCACTTCAGCTGCCCTGTCAAATATCCTGATATGACCATCATCGAGGACCATGCTAACTGGAACATTTCCAGAGAGCTGGGCTTCAATTACTGCCACACCGGTTTGGTAAGATAAGCTCATGTACTGTTGTGTCAGATTCATCAGGAGATCAGCTTTGTAGTTCACTCATACACAGACAGTCACTTAAAAAGTATGATATGAATTAGATTAAATTACTACACCAATGTAGTTTTGTTCTTACATTATTCCAAATGTTGCCAACATATTCTAAACCAGAGAATTATGTTATTTAAATGTAATGTATAATTTTAAGGAAATGTGGTCTCCTGTAATGGCGTCTTATCCCCTTTGTGTCAGTGTTGTTGTTGTTGTCATGAATTCAACTTTTATCCAGTTGAAAGACGCATTTTAACAATTTCTCTTAAAAATGTTACAGTTTTTTAACTATATAATTCAACAAGATAAGAAATGTTAGTCAGACGTCTGGAAGTTGTCAGAGAAACAAACTAGCTATTGTTAGCCGTTAGCTTACAGCCTCTCTGACTTTGTCAGCAAGATAAACACTTATTTTTTACATAAAACTCTTTTACAGTGTTCTTTCATCGGCTTAAATCGCTCTGTCCGTTTGTTTTGAAGAAGAGCATCATTCTGTTAATAATTCAACTCTGGGTAGAAACCCTCTGAATACAAAACAATAAATATTAGCTGTAGAAGCTAACTTCACTCAGTCAGAGACCCCTATTGGCAGAAAATGACATACAGTGCATTTAATATCACATGTTTATTACATTATGTTTCATGTGACACAATGAGGTGTTGACATTGTTGTTCGGTTAATTGTATTGAACTATGTTACATGTGCGGTGTCATAGAGTAACAGACTGGCCCGTGACAACCCCCTGACGGACACCGACAACGAGCAGCTACGCCAAGTGTGTAACAGAGACCCGCTGTCTGAGATCACTGAGCAGGAGAAGGACTTCCTGTGGAGGCACAGGTACGAGTGTGTGGTTGTGTTCTGTTATGTTGGCTTTATGAGGGTTTATTGTGTACTGTCATTTGAGGCTGATCTATATGTCATTAAAGTTCTAACAAATGTATTCTCTCTGTCTATCATTTCAGACAAGACTGCGTCAACATGCCGGAGATCCTTCCCAAGATCCTCCTGGCTGTGAAATGGAACTCCAGAGATGAGATTGCACAGGTAAGCTCCGGTTTCTCTCGCTGACACACCTTTATTTGAAGGACATCACGCCAGTGGCTCAAACATGCAAATCTGCTGATATATACACAGATAGCAAAACTTGCTTGCAGTCAAATAGTCTTTTTTGATCAGGAAGCGTCCTAGCAGAGTGAAATGTCCGGGAAGTATTTAAATGTCAGCCGTGATAAGAGCAGTTAGAATCCTCTATGGGAAAGAAGCTTCAATGCTTCTTTATCATCTTGTTTAGCGTAGGATACAACGGACCATCCTTTACCAAAGGAAAGGAGTTAATGCCATAACTCGCAAAAGTGTTTATATGTTTTGAACTTTCAACAATATGTTAAACCAAAAGGCAAACAATGAGCGTTACGCTAGTTACTTTAAAATGACCTAGTAAAGTTTTACAGTGTTTACTAAATGGGATGGCGTTTCTCAAGCTTTTTTTTTTTTATTCAATATTTTTGAATTTTGATATGCACAGTAATAGATTTCTAATCCAAACAAAGTATGCATATATTGCCTACAGTATTATTTATTCAAACAGTTTCACACGATCATACTAATTGAATTCATGTTGATTAATACTAGTGGACAGGAGTGTGAGTGCGAGTTTCACTTTCCTTTATTTGAATTCAAACCTTGGTAATGAAGTTATAAAGCCTGCATGATGCATAATGCTAAGTATCTAGATGCACCTCTGGTAGTCCATTCACGTCAAATTGTGTTTTCCCCACGGCAAAAGCCAATAAGTAACATCTCAGCCGGTGTAAGTGCAGTCGGATTCGCTGAGGACCGCAGTTGTCTTTTCTAAAGCCCCGATGAATATTCCTTCACATCTTTTCTTAACCCCGTGACCTTTTTCAGTAAGGTAAAGGCAAAGTGTTTAGGAAAAGACATAGGACCTTATTTTATAGACAATTTGACCATATCCACTGTCTCTTGTTTAATATTTCCCTCCTAAAAAATATATATATTTTGGAAGTAAATGTAAGATTTCTTTCATTTAAGATGTACTGCCTCCTGAAGGACTGGCCCACCATCAAGCCGGAGCAGGCCATGGAGCTGCTGGATTGCAACTTCCCTGATCCTATGGTCCGAGACTTTGCCGTAAAGTGCCTTGACAAATATCTAACTGATGACAAACTCTCGCAGTACCTCATTCAACTTGTTCAGGTGTGTTGCATCCTCATTACACTTTAAATATAATTTAATTAAACATTCAATCAAGGTTTATGTTTCTTTTCATATACTGTAGTTGTGTTTTTTTCTGTCAAATAATAATGATGTTAAAGTATTTTCTCTGTTTTCTGTGCCCAGGTTCTAAAGTATGAGCAGTATCTTGACAACCCTCTTGCACGCTTCCTGCTGAAAAAGGCATTAACCAATCAGAGGATAGGACATTTCTTCTTCTGGCATTTGAAGTGAGTTCATTAAAAAAGGTCTTCTTTGAAGAATTTGAAGCTGTATGGGACTTGAAAGGTTAAACTGATGTTTGAATGTCACTTCGCTGTCTGGTCTCCAATCACGTTGGAGACAGTTCTGTGAAGACTGGTTTGTGTTTCATGTGTATTTGTATTGAGTCTGAACATATTCTACTGAAGCCATGGGAGGCAAATAAGAAAAACTATTATGTAAAATCCACTTTTTCATGTCTTTTATACATAAATATGTGTCCCCTCTGCGTTAAAGCTACAGACAGAGAATCAGCACTTTAGAAGCAGGGCTGAAACAGAGGGGATTATGGGATGCTGCAATGATCAGTTTGGTGTTTTTGAGCCAAACCCTTCAGAGACATGTTTTGTATATATCTGAGACCTTTAATATATTGTTGAAAAAGAGTATAATAAGGGACCTTTAAGAGCAGGGGATTATCATTGATTGTTGTTTTAATACTCCTTTCACCCACAAGAGGCACCACTACACCGTTCTGAAAATAGCGTTCATGTTTTCTTTCAGGTGAGCTTTAATTTATTCTTTTACTATAAACATGTCAAGGTCCATACATTGTGTGCTGAAATGATTATAACACAGCAAAAACCTGAGAACAACATAAAATCACTCAATTTAATGGTGAAATAGAAGAAAAATGATCCAGGATCTTTTTTTTTCCCATGCAAAATTCCACCTGTTTTCACAGATGAATAAAAAAATGATAAAGGAAAATAATCATAAAACATAATCATAACTCAACTATCAATTATTAAGCTATAAACATAGGAAAACAAATATTTAGATCAAACTTAGAAAATGGATGACCAAAATATTTTCCCTTTAATTGCCTCCCAGGCTTTCCACACATTTCCCATTAGGACACGGACAACCTCCTTAATGTTTATTTTCGTGTCTTCATGTTTGTAGGTCGGAGATGCACAACAAGACGGTGAGTCAGCGCTTCGGCCTGCTGCTGGAGTCGTACTGCCGGGCCTGTGGCATGTATCTGAAGCACCTGAGCAGACAGGTGGAGGCCATGGAGAAACTCATCAATCTCACTGACCTCCTCAAACAGGAGAAAAAAGACGAGGCGCAGAAGGTAACCCGACAGCCGACAGCTGCTAATCCTGATCCACTGAATCCTTCACTTTAATCTTTTTCAACATCCAAACCAATCAGGCCAAAATACAGCAGAGAGATACAGACAGCGTCTATTTTCAGTTTGCTGCATCTAAACGTCAACCACACATTTCTGAAAGTGTGAGTGAGGGATTTTTTTGTTAATTACCATATTACATTACATTACATTACATTGCATTTAGCTGACGCTTTTATCCAAAGCGACTTACAATAAGTACATTCGACCAGGAAGACACAACCTTGAAGAAAACAGAATCATATAAGTATATCAGGTTTCATAGAGCCAAACATTTCAAGTGCTACTCAACTGGCTTTAGGTAATCCAGTCCTTTATTAGTATACAAGTGCTTCGTTAATCGTTCTAACGCTCGAAGTGGAGTCGAAAGAGATGAGTTTTCAGTTTGCGCCGGAAGATGTGCAAGCTATCTGCCGTCCTGATGTCAATGGGGAGCTCATTCCACCATCTTAGAGCCAGGACAGCAAACCCACGTGTTTTCGCCGATGGGAACTTGGATCCCCCTCGCAGAGCGTAGTGCACGCGCTGGGGTGTACGGTTTAACCATGTCCTGGATGTAGGAAGGGCCAGATCCATTCGCAGCACGGTAAGCAAGTACCAGTGTCTTGAAGTGGATTCTAGCAGTTACCGGAAGCCAGTGAAGGGAGCGGAGGAGCGGAGTGGTGTGGGAGAATTTAGGAAGGTTGAAAACCAGACGAGCCGCTGCATTCTGGATGAGCTGCAGAGGTCGGATGGCACATGCAGGTAGACCAGCCAGGAGGGAGTTGCAGTAGTCTAGGCGTGAGATGACGAGAGCCTGGACCAGAACCTGAGTCGCTTTCTGAGTCAGCTGGGGACGTATTTTCCTGATGTTGTAAAGCGTGTATCTGCAGCAGCGGGTTGTAGCAGCGATGTTTGCAGTGAAGGACAGTTTGTTATCTAGGGTCACACCCAGATTCCTTGCAGTCTGAGTCGGGGAAACAACTGAGGTGCCGATGTTGATTGTCAGGTCAAGAGTTGGACAATCTTTTCCCGGGAGGAAGAGCAGCTCAGTCTTGTCAAGGTTGAGCTTGAGGTAGTGAGCAGACATCCACTGAGAGATGTCAGCTAGACAAGCAGAGATGCGTGCGACGACCTGGGTCTCTGAGCGGGGAAAGGACAGAATTAATTGGGTGTCGTCAGCGTAGCAGTGGTAAGAAAAACCATGCGGGCTAATGACTGATCCGAGCGAGTTTGTGTACAAGGAGAAGAGGAGGGGATCAAGAACAGAGCCCTGAGGGACCCCCGTAGTTAATTGACAAGGGTCGGACTCAGACCCTCTCCAAGTCACCCTGTAGGTACGGTCTTTCAGGTATGAGGTGAGGAGGGAAAGTGCAGAGCCTGAAACTCCAAGTTTTTGGAGAGTGCGAAGGAGGATCTGATGATTCACCGTGTCGAATGCAGCAGACAGGTCCAACAGGATGATGACAGAGGAGAGGGATGCAGTTTTGGCAGTGTGCAGTTCCTCCGTGACAGCAATGAGAGCAGTTTCTGTGGAGTGACCTGCCTTGAAACCAGACTGGTGCGGATCCAGAAGGTTGTTCTGATTGAGATAACAGGAGAGTTGTTTAAAGACAGCGCGTTCAAGTGTTTTAGACAGGAACGGGAGGAGAGAGACAGGCCTGTAGTTTATAACATCAGACGGGTTGAGAGTGGGTTTCTTTAGGAGAGGGTTTACTCTTGCCTCCTTGAGACTGTTTGGAAAGTGACCAGAAGTTAGAGAAGTGTTGATGAAATGGGTGAGAAACGGTAGAATATCAGGAGCGATAGTCTGAAGGAGGTTTGAAGGGATAGGGTCCAGAGGACAGGTGGTAGGGCGGGCAGAGGTAATGAGGGTAAGAACCTCACTTGGAGAGAGAGGGGAAAAGGAGGTTAGTGTGTTGGTGGAAGGAAGGTCTGGTGACCCAGCGGTGAGTAAAGGTGAGTCAGAAAAGGAAGAGCGAATATCATCAACCTTTTTTTCAAAGTGGGTAACAAAGTCGCTTGACAGAAGTGAGGAGGGGGGGGGAGGAGCTTTTGGAGGGTCCAAGAGGGTGGAGAAGATGGAAAATAGTTTTTTAGGATTGGAATAGGAAGATTGGATCTTATCTTGAAAGAAAGTGCTTTTTGCCTGAGAGATCGAAGCAGAGAAAGAGGAGAGGAGAGCCTGATAGGTTAGGAGGTCGTCACGGTGTTTGGATTTCCACCATTTCCGCTCTGCTGCCCTAAGGATGGTTCTATTAGCACGCAGTGCATCATTTAGCCAGGAAGCAGGAGGGGACTGACGAGCCTGCCGAGATGTCAGAGGACAGAGCGAGTCCAGAGTGGATGAGAGAGTAGAGAGGAGAGTTTCTGCAGCAGAGTTTGGAGGCAGTAGTTGGAACGAATCAGAGGAAGGGAGGGCTGAGAGCACCGACGAGGCAAAGGTAGAGGGGGAGAGGGAACGAAGGTTACGGCGGACAAGTGTAGGATGAGAAGAGATTAGTTTGTTATGTTTGGAAAGGGGTAGAGAGAATGAAATGAAGAAGTGATCGGATGTGTGGAGCGGGTTTACAGAGAGGTTAGAAGTAGCGCAGTTCCTTGAGAATATGAGATCAAGGACATTGCCAGCTTTATGAGTCGGTGGGGACGGAGAGAGTGAGAAAGCAAAGGCGGTTAACATAGATTCATGTGCACTATTCTTAAATAAAACCTGGTTCTAGGGGTGGTAAGATATTGAATATACTCTACTGTATCTCAGCTTGTTCTACGTGGGATCATTTGCCCACTCTAAAGGATTATACCACGAACATCTTGTACAAATATGAATTGGCTGGTGATTCTTTAAGCCGCCAGCATGAGACTCGCTTTGGTGTTCCGCTGCTTTCACGGCGTTCTCCCCCTCACACATATCACATATCCTGGGCAAGTCTTATAGCGTATGAGCATGGATGTGTGTATAGGACTCGTGTTCTTACATCTCAAGGGAAGCAGGTGATACTTATTAGTATATGACAAGTGGGTTTTTTAAAATAAAAAACTGTTAAGCAGAAAAAGACCCATCTCGTATTATTGTTTTCAAATTAAGGCCTTTTCTCAAGACAATGTAAATACACTTAAATGATGGCACTATTTAAGAATTACCCGTGTTTAAATAGTTTGTAGACACGGCAAACAGTATTTGAAGTGTTACTGTCTAATGTCTAAACAAATGAATTGATTAGCTAGCTACCTAGCAAATTGTCTTAATATCTAAATACATCATCCTCAATGAAATACCATCCTTTTTTTTCTTTTTAAATGTAAATCCACACAGCACCAAACTGCTCAGCTGCATCACCTCGTTGCTACAGTTGAATCATTCTGCTGAGGGAAAGCAGCAGCATGTTTTTGAACTTTACATGGGTTTCTCTGCTTTAAGGTTCAAATGAAGTTTCTGGTGGAGCAGATGAGAAGGCCTGACTACATGGACGCCCTGCAGAGCTTCACCTCCCCTCTGAATCCTGCACATCAGCTGGGAAACCTCCGGTACATCGCTCATCTTAGTCTCCCCTCTTCAAAGCCTGGCATTTACTATTAATATTTCATATTTATCTGTTACTTTTCAAAAAACATTTGTTTGAAATCCACATGAAACACTCTTCATATGAATTAAAACCACTGCAGCACTTTAGATTTAAAAATAAAATGTTACCTTAAAGCTGGTTCTCAGCTACTCCCTCCTCCTTATTTCCTTGCACTAAAACAGTGATAATGAACACCAGCAGCAAATGCCAGGAGTTGACTTTTCATTATAACTAATTATGTCTGGTATGTTAACTGCATGCCAAATGAATGAGAGCACAAAAGGCCAAATTGCTTCCTAAGTATGACCGGTTACTGACAGGCAATGTAGCATTTAAAAGGCTATTATTGAAATGGAGTCTGGCACAGAGCTCACTCCACCCTAAAGCACCACGGCTACAGAAACATCCCGACAGCCCTCAGGTCACAACAGTATCACAATGTGTTTTAACCAGATTAGATAACACTCATCTGTCCTGCTGTTACAACAGACATGTGAATTAACCACAGACACTTGCCTCGTCAAGAGGACATATTATGTTGGTCGATATTTGTTTTTTTATGTCTCTACTCTCACATGTCTCCTTGCTTTCATGTTCAAAAAGCTCTTTATTTTCCTCATACTGCCTGTGCTGCAGCACCTCTTTTCACCCTCTGTCTGAAACCAGAGTCCAGTCTGCTCTGATTGGTTAAGTGACCGGCTCTGATTGGTCAACCGCTTAGAAAAGAACATACATTGTGTTGGAGTGTTACATAGTGATGTTACTATGTTCGGATGTCAACCAAGGGGTCCAATGAAGGCGTTTCAGGCGGAGGGGGTAGGGAGAGTGTGGGAGAGAAACTCCCTCTGGAGGGAACACCAGGATTTCAGCCTTTGCAGACCATTTAGATGCACTAAAACCTATAGAACACACTACAGGGAAGGGAAATGCCCTAATAGGGCCTCCATATGGACTCACCGCAGTGCTTCGCAACAGAATAAATAAAGGGAAAACAATTTAGGATATGATAAAAATTGCAAAATGTGCTCCTGGGGGCACCTACTGTATGGGAACAACCACAGAGGCAGTTTGGAGTAGCCCTATAAACTTTGCAAAATGCACTTATGAAATGTACAGGTGGTTAGTGTTCGCCAAGCGGCCATTGTCCTCCTCCTTTCTCTTTACGTTACCGGCCTAATCGGCATCCTATCGCAAGAATGCCTACATATATCTTTGGCATTAAATAAAAAATGTTTGGCAGGAGATCCTGTTCCATAAATATAGAAGCAATACTGATGTATATATTGTTTGGAGTCAGGGCTCAAAAGCACAGGTTGCCTGGGCCCAGAACTTTAACTCGACCTCCTCCATCAAGTTGACTGATGGGTCTGGCATTGTGACGGCTTCTTGTTTGGAAAAACAATCCAGCCAACAATCGCTATGGGGAACAAACTATAAGCCAATCAGCACCAAGGGCCAGACTGACGCTGTTGTCAAGCTGTGTCAATAGACGGCCATATAGCCCAACATCGTTTTTACCGGACTCTGAACTGTTTCCAGTCGGCTCCATGGAGTGGGCGGATTCAAAGGTCCGGAGAGGGCAACTCAAACTCTTAAAGCCCCGGGAGTACAGTATGTTGGCATGGCTACGCATCAGTGTCAATGTATAATGCTCAGGGGATTGGTGAGGAAGAATCTGAGAAGATGGAAGCTGAGTGTAATGAGTTGTGGTCTTCCTCTTTAAACATATCCCTGTCTGTGTTTCAGCCTGGAGGAATGCAGGATGATGTCATCAGCCAAGCGGCCTCTGTGGCTCAACTGGGAAAACCCGGATATGATGTCAGAGCTGCTCTTTCAGAACAACGAAATCATCTTCAAAAATGGAGATGGTGAGTTTAGTCTCTGTGTTTTCCCCCCTTGCTGCCCACCCTCTGCGTATCACACACACAGATTTGGAAGAAGCTCCTGCTGAGCCTGCAACATAATTAACTCTAGCCCTCTGGGGCGTATCATGGCGCACAACCTCATCCATGTTCTGTACACGGATTTCAAAAAAAGAACAAGTCACATTATCGGAGTGGCACTAGCTGCGGCTGCCAGAGCGTTTTGCTGCACCGTCTGTGACCAAAACTGCCTCTGACAGCTCTGCTCCATTATGTATGGTGGATTGATCAAAGAGCAGCTAAGCAGCTAATATTCACCTGACTGACACCCACCTCCTCGTCTCTCTCTGTGCCCCCGCAGATCTGAGGCAGGACATGCTGACGCTGCAGATCATTAGGATAATGGAGAACATCTGGCAGAACCAAGGCCTTGATCTCAGGTAGGCTCTGCGCTTCTCCATGACAGCGAGGATGCAGGTGCACATTAAACAGCCGCTGGATGCTTTCATGTCTCTGCGCCTCTGTACCTGAATGCAGATTAGCGGCAAGCCACCTCGAGTCATGTAATATGAAGTCCATCACTGCCGCCCTAATTATTTTCTGCCCCCTCGTTATGTCTTCCTCTCCCAGGATGCTCCCGTACGGCTGCCTGTCAATCGGAGACTGCGTGGGCTTGATCGAGGTGGTGAGGAACTCTCACACCATCATGCAGATCCAGTGCAAAGGAGGCCTGAAGGGGGCGCTGCAGTTCAACAGCCACACGCTGCATCAGTGGCTCAAGGATAAGAACAAGGGGGAGATGTGAGTGGAGACAGCAGTGATTTATAGTGTGATCTGCAGGCTGTAGGGAGTGTTGGAGATAATGTAAAGACTAATGTGGAGACTTAGGGTGCTTTCACTCCTGCAGCTCGCTCCATCTAGGCCCAACCAAGGAGAACAAAAGATGCAATGTGGCATTTTACTTCTGGTCTGGTTTAAGATATTATAAATGCATCAAGAGAAGAACACTTCAAATGATACAGGCTGACAGGTAGAGCATTAACAGTTAGTTTGTTGCATTAACAGAAAAATAAACGGCAATTATTTTTGGCATAAAATGAAGCCTAGTAAATACAGTATGTAGATTTCCATTTCTTTTTTACTCTGTTTCAAATCCTAAAAGTGCATAACCTTGGGTTTCTGGCGAGACAAAACAAGACATGTAGCATCTATTCTTGTTCTTTGGTGTGATATATGCTTCCAAAGTAATAACTGATATAAGAATGATTAAAACTATTAGACAGCAAACCAACCGCATCTCATGAATAATGACCAACAGGTGGAGTAATGACTGCCTGCTTATTACTGCGGGATTGCTTTCACACAATTTCTAATGTACTTAATGACCTGACTCGGTACTAAAAGGTCAAGCACAATACCCATAATAACACATGCATACAGGTTACCATGGTTACCAAATGAATTGTATAAAAAAGTCATGCCTTACACAGATACAATTTAAGATTGCTTTCTGAACAGATTTCCCAATCAGCAAATGGATATATTTTTATTTTAGCTTTGACATCATGCTAAGTACAAAATAATTTTAAATAATAAAAGTGAAATAAATGTTATTTATAGATTGCTTTTCAAGGTATTCAAAGACACTGTACAAGAAGTAAAATTCATTAAAGAAATCACAAAAACAAAAAAGCAGCTCTGCTAAGGTTTTGTTTTGTGATTTGAATATAGACAGATTGGGGCAGTCATGAATGTGTGGAGTTCAAGAGAGAGGGGGCCGTTATGGAACAATATTCAAATCTTTCTGCAGAGTTGGCTTAAGTGCTGGAGGGAACATCTTTTCCTTCTTTTTGTGGGAATGCATCAAGCCCCTTAATCATTTGGGAGACTGAAATGTTTTCCCTCTGATTGATTCTCCAGGTATGACCAGGCCATAGATCTGTTCACGCGCTCGTGTGCGGGCTACTGTGTAGCCACATTCATCCTGGGCATCGGGGACAGACACAACAGCAACATTATGGTCAAAGATGATGGACAGGTACAGATTACACTCTGATATCCTCTCAATGTTATAAATGCTACTCTGTTTCTCTCTCGTTGATTTCCTCATATTCTTTCTTTCACAGCTGTTCCACATAGACTTCGGCCATTTCCTCGACCACAAAAAGAAGAAGTTTGGCTACAAGAGGGAGCGCGTGCCCTTCGTGCTCACACAGGACTTCCTGATCGTCATTAGCAAAGGAACTCAAGAGTGCACCAAAACAAGGGAGTTTGAAAGGTAAGACCAGCAACAATTCCAAAGCCAAATTAAGATTTAAGAATTAAGATTTTTACATTTAAGATATCTAAAAACAACTTATCAGATACTGGTTTCCATTCTGAGGAGCCAACACAATAGACAACAAAGTTAAAGGTTTATGTAACATTTTCGCTATAAAATTACTCCAAACAACTACAGCTATGTTTTAGTTGAGTCGTGTAATTATATCATATCCAATGTTCCAAACTATTTTCACACCTGGAGAAATTGGTAATCTTAAGAGGGTAAAAGTAGGTTTCATCAGTTCATGGCCACCCCTTTTAGCATGACTGATGATTTTGAACTAGTTTTATTCCCCTTTTTCTTATGATAACTCATTGTTTTTAATTATATATTTTAACTGGATTAAGGATTTTAGACATTCATATTCTGAATCTGAAGTTATCAGACAAAACAAGCTAAGCAAACGCTAGCGGTTAGCTTGTAGCTCCTCCATCCTATGTCCACTGAACCGTATCAACAAAACACCGATTTTGAACAGGCTTTATTCAGCGTTATTCTCGCTTTTACTCACCTGGTATGTTTGTTTTGGAAAAGAAGAAACCTCTGAAGATAATCTGCCTCGGTGTTAAACCTCCTGAACAACAGAGGACTAGGGCTGACTGCTATGACGGAAATAAATGCCACCAGACTATACTATCCTACGTGGAAGATTTGTAGAATATCCTACTCATGTGATTGTTTCCATATCGTCATTTTCCCCCGCTTATATCCATTTGTGTATTTTCCCCAGGTTCCAGGAGATGTGTTACAAGGCGTACCTGGCGATCCGGCAGCACGCCAACCTCTTCATCAACCTGTTCTCCATGATGCTGGGCTCCGGGATGCCCGAGCTGCAGTCCTTCGACGACATCGCCTACATCAGGAAGACCCTGGCTCTGGACAAGACGGAGCAGGAGGCCCTGGACTACTTCATGAAGCAAATGAACGACGCTCACCACGGAGGCTGGACCACCAAGATGGACTGGATCTTCCACACCATCCGCCAGCACGCCATGAACTAGAGCAACGAGAGGACTGTGGCAACATCCGCACACTAAGAACCAAAAGAACAGAAGAGCCAGGTGGTCTTCTGCCAGCGTGTGACTCATGAAATAAGGGTGCTCAGAAGGGACAGTTTCAGGGACACAATGCCTAGACGCTAGGGTGGAGTTATATTTCATCAGTCGTCTTCATAGGAACTAAGCAAGTGTAATGGACCTCGACAACGTTGGCCTTCTCCCTCGTGTGAACAAACTACGGGCAACATTTGATTTTGTATTTGATTTGTATTCCCTTTCGGTACATCTGCAACCATCAGCATTAAGGAAGGAGCATCATGAAGCGGTGTACCTTGAGCACAGCCAGCTTTTTCTAAGATTTCCACTACCTATTTTGGGGATATCACTCACACAGACTGAAAGGGGAAGATAAGAAAAAAACTATAAAACAATCATCAACACTACGACAGGACTGACGGAGGACGCGTTGTTAAGCTAGCATTTAACGCTTCTGGTACTCAGATACCATGATTATTTTTACCCTACAGTTTAGAATTTACGCTACATAACAGACTTTTGTACAGCAGTATATCCTTAGACTTGTATGCATTCAGTGCACATATTCCTTTTTTTTCCTACTGAGCCAAAGTACTACATGTGTAACCCCCCACTACTCGGCAGTCTTATCGTGTGAAAAAAAAAAATTCCAAGCCTCTCGTGTGTACTCATAGCACTGATCTCCGCAGTATTTGTTTTTGTCTATCAGTATTATTCTGTGTCAGCTGTCGGGGCGTGACTGTCCGTCAACACCCCCCCCCCCCATGCAGACGGGGCGCGGACAGAGCCTGGGAAGGATGGTCAACATGTTGTGAGTTGTTGTGGAGCTGAGGAAAGGCGAGAGACGCAGAGGGAGATGTGCTGCGCTGTTACACTATGCAAGTTGTGATATATGTACTGCAGAAAGGAGAAGAAGATAAGTTGAAATGCTTTTACCCCGACATGCACACACAGACAAGTGGACTTTGCACATGGAAGAGGAAAAAAATGCTGCACTGTAACAGAATCGGCTGCTTCTTCCCGAGAAAAAAGAACTGAAAAACCGCCTTCGGACCCCGCCTTCTCCGCTTCTCCTCACCGGGTTTTTATTCTGATCTACAATTTTAAAGCCATCTGTAAAAAGGTTAGAGTTTTCTCCTGTCCTACTTGTCCTCGATCGCACACAAATAATTCACAACTGATCATTTAAAGGAGAACTTCACCCCCAAAATGTGTTGATCATTAACTCACCATGTGTTACCTTGGATTCTGGGAAATGTAGTTTTTCACGCATGCCTCCGCAGGTCTTAAAGAACTATTTTAAAATATCCTTTCCTAAACTCTCACCCTCTTGCACTTAAACCCAAGTCTAATATATCTAGTTCTTATGCTCATTTCTTCCGCATTTTCATTAAAACCTTACATTTTGATACCAAGGTTCTTCAGGTCCTTAAGAAAATTGGGAATTTGAAGATAACAAAGCAAGGCCTTGGACGTTTTTGAAAATATACATAAGGAAATTCAAGTTCTATTGTTATATGTGAGCTTCCGTAGAATTTGCTAGATCTCATTGTTTACATTCTACGATTGTGTCTCAATCGATGTGTCGGGTCCTGGAATTTGAGGGAATATGGCCTTGAAAGTCCTTGAATGTTAAGGGGTAAGTAGGTGAGAGATATACACTTCCGGATAAACAGTGTCAGGCAACTAATGCGTTTGAGTACAAAGTGTTGAATAGTTTTACAAAAAAAGACTTGTGTTTGGGAAGTAGTGAGCAGATGTCTTGATATAGTAAGATTGACCCTATTTACTTCTATTCATCAGGCTTTTTTTTATTCTTCGTTGACCGTCGAGGCATGTGAGAAACACTTTTATTCAAGGTGACACGTTAAGTAACTGATATAGAAATGATCGTTTTGATGGTAAAGTATTCCTTTAAGACAGCCTGTTTCCTCACACTTGCCACATCGTGACATCCAGGTAGAGAAAGTAACCGGAGTGAATTCTTTTTGAACCAAGTGTCTTCTTCCCTCCACTCTCCTATGATTGTCGCGCTTATGTATGGACGGTTGCAGGTTTTGCATACGTAAGAGGTCAGTTCATGTTCCAGCTTTACCAAATGATACCCAATGGGCGGTTTCCTGGACACGAGTCCATTTTTCTCTGTACGTGCGAACAGACTGAAACTGCTCAGAAAGCCGCCCCTGCTGAGATGCTCCTGTACCGGCTACAGAGCAGTGGGCCGGACCCAGACAAAAAAAACAAGACCCCATATACTTTATGGAAGAACTCTCTGAAAAATGCTATTTCCCTTTGTACCGTTCTGTTTCTCACACTGCATTATGCATGAGGTCCTCGAATATCTACTTTTATTTGTTGTTTTTTTTCTGTTGGTTGACCTGATGTTGTTTACTTGAATTTCATGTATAGAAATGACCTTGTTACTTGTGTGAGGTACAACAAAGTCACAATGAAGATAACCGAAAAAATGCTACATCATGTGCTTTCCTTGAATAACTACAGAGGTAATATATTTTTGTATTTTTAAAATGTACGCAAACTCGTAACTGCTAACCAAAAGAAAAAGGAAAAAAAAGAGGAGGCGGAGGAATCATGAATTAATGTGCAACGTCCTCATCCAGAAGCTAGTATAATGAATGAGAGGAGAGTTGTCGAATGAAGGACGTCGGAGTACGCTCCTCACATCAAGTGGAGGTCTGTAAGCACAATACAGAGGAAGACCCTACCCTGCATGTTTAAAAAAAAAGATCCAATCATGTGTTAGTTATATATCCATCTGTATATATATATCATTAAACCTTTTCAAATATTCGTTTTACTCATCCGCATATGTCTGATAAGAAACTGTATGCATTCATTTATTGTACTATTGAATAAAAACATTTCTCCCTATTGAAACACATTTTAGGTTTTATTATTCTGTTGCTTTTTATACATGTAGACAACTGTGAGTCATTTATAAGGCACTGCTTTTGCATTATTTGGATAAAGATTGACATTCATGTGGGATAAGGCTTCAAGATGTAAACAATTCATACATCCATCTTCCCATAGGCAACAAAGACTTGATGAGCTGGACACTTTGTTTTTTAAATAAAAAATGGGGCTGAATGCTATAAGTACAATTGAAAGAGTACTAATCTGCTTTTGGGGGTTCCCTGTAGTGTTTTAATATATTTCATTTTCACATTGCCACTTTAACCTTTAATGTGTGTGTTGTAGTGCCGAGAGATAGGGAGTCGGAGGCGGTGCAAAAGGGTAATTTATTAGAGTGTAGAAAAGGTCATGTTGTCCGGTTGCAGTCCGGGAAGAAGAGAGAGAAGCCAGGAGGGCACACAACATATATAGTCAACACACAACATGTCCGTGTGGAAACAAAACCCCAACTGTAGTTCCATGTGTGAATTATGAACCAGTGTATTAATAGGTGGTCACCACACAAGCCCCCCCAGAATTCAAACATGGCAAAAAAAATCCTCGCGTCCGTGGAGGAAGCACCACAGGGGCCGAGGAGGGTGGGGCCGCAGGTGAGGACCGGGCCGTCGGAAGGGGGCCGCAGTAGGCGTCGTGGCGAATGAAGTCATCACCCGCCAGTCGGTGAAAGCCGGGTCGCTGAGTCGCGACGGGCGTCAACAACCCGGTGGTCCCTAGCAGGAAGAAGCGCTGCCCGGCCGCAGGCGAGGGCACAGCGGCGGCGGGCATGAAGTCCTCGGGAGGAAGGAGCGCTGCCCGGCCGCAGGCGAGGGCACAGTGGCGGCGGGCATGAAGTCCTCGGGAGGAAGGAGCGGTCCCCCCGGGAGGAAGGAGCGCAACCCGGCCGCAGGCAGACGTGCAACGGAGGCGGGCACGAAGTCCTCGGCAGGCGTCGAGGCATCCCCGGGAAGCAGGAGAGCAACCCGGCCGCAGGCAGACGTGCCGCGGCGGCGGGCATGAAGTCCTCAGCAGATGTCGAGGCATCCCCGGGAAGCAGGAGAGGCCAGACAGGGTCCCGGAGCGCGCCACCCATGGGCCGATGGAGCATGGGCGACGTCCGGAACTGTCGAGGCGAGAGGGGGTACAGGAGTGCGCCACCCAGGCGCCGATAACGTGAGTGGCGTCTGGATATCCCCGGAAGGCAGGAGAGGCCAGACGGGCTCTGGAGCGCGCCACCCACGGGCCGATGGCAGCATGGGCGACGTCCAAAACCGTCGAGGCGAGGTCCAGGAGTGCACCACCCAGGCGCCGAAGGAAACTTGAGTGGCGTCTGGAACCGCCGTTGAGGTGGTGAAAAAGTGAGAGTGTCCACACGAGGTCAACCGGCTTGTCGAACCTCCTCTCCGGCACCAAAAAAAATCAAATCAAAAGGGCTGATAGCCGTTAGCACTAGCCGTCGTTAGCCCCACGTGGTTAGCCGCTAGCTGCCGTCAACCAGCGCAGCCGCACGCCCTGAAGTAACAAGCCCACGAGGCAGCAATCGGGTTGCTGGTCGACCCAGCAGGTCGTGCATGGTCTCCCTGTAGCCGGAAAGCCGATGCGGGAATGGCGAGCAACGTCCCCAGCCATTCCGCGGGGCGCGCACCGAGCCTCAGTCCGCGTGCCTGTAGCAGCTACGGTCGGCTCCAAAAAATCCCCGGCATTTCGAGAAAGAAACCTGGGTTTCCTTTGCCGTGTTCGGGTCCGTCTCGGAAACTTCCCAAGACGCTGTCGGGGTCACCAATGTAGTGCCGAGAGATAGGGAGTCGGAGGCGGTGCAATGGAGGTGCAAAAGGGTAATTTATTAGAGTGTAGAAAAGGTCATGTTGTCCGGTTGCAGTCCGGGAAGAAGAGAGAGAAGCCAGGAGGGCACACAACATATATAGTCAACACACAACATGTCCGTGTGGAAACAAAACCCCAACTGTAGTTCCATGTGTGAATTATGAACCAGTGTATTAATAGGTGGTCACCACAGTGTATATATATTGTATGTTTATAGAAATATTTTTTATTATATTTGTTTAAACTTAAACCTCTCACGTTTACATAAATATTTGTGATCTATTTAAAAAAATATACATTCTAAAACAGAGCAACTGTCTCAAACCCAATAAACCTCAGGACAGATAACCTCAGACCCTGATGTTAGGGAGGCGTCTGGGAGCTGGACCTGCGCAGCACTCGGTACAGTTTCCCCTGAGAGTGTCTGGATGTACGCCGGCCCTCGGCAGCCTCACTGCTCCCTGAGGAGAGGTGGGCTAAGCACTGCGTCAGCTTCACCAGCCCCACCAGCAGAGCCCCCCCCCCCAGCATCAGGCTGGGCCACAGCAGGGTAAACAGAGCGATCCTCAGAGTGTACTTCCTGTTTAGGATGACGTCCCTGGGGTGCCCTGAGGGGTCAGCGATGCACGACGAGGTGACCCCTATCTGAGAGTCCAGGCTGCTCTTCACCTTCAGGACTTCATCCTCCAGCTCTGCTCTGTCCGCCTGACATTTGGGAACGTAAAAACACTGAGAAAGAAAAAGATGATTCAAGTATAACTTGTTATCAAGGGGGCTGCTCGATACAGTCGGCTGATTGCAATCAGGGAGACAAGCTGCAAGGTTCTTTTTTGATTTAGGGTTTTTTCTCTATTTTTCATGTGCAGTTCTGGTACAACATTTTCTTTCCTCTTCTGAATGGAGCAGAAGTGCTGCATGAGAGCGTCTCCTTATAATATCTGCTGTTTTACTCATAAGGGTGCAGAACGTTTCCACTTGTCCATCCTGTCAGTTAGTTCAGCTTTTTACTTTCACTTCTTTCTCAGAAGCTTGCTTATGTCCTTGCTTGGATACCTGCCACACAGATATACTTCACAGAGTAGTCCTAGTGTAAGTTGTAGCACATTGAGTCGTAATGCTCAAATCCACTATCCTAAGGTGCTAACTCGTTTTTCTTATTTTATTTGTTATGTTAAGTATACTGTATGTATACTGTATGTATACTGTATGTAAGTAATTTAGCTTCATCACCTGGGTATATACAACTTGTTCCTATCCTTTATCTAATAGTGGCATTTCAATATGTTCTGTATTTGTTTTATACTGTGGCAGGTGCAAACACGTTACAACGGCCCAAAAGATTTCCGTTTGGAGACAATGTTCTGCACTTTTAAGAACGATGCAAATAAAAAAAACACAAATGTTCTAAAACACATAAAAAAGAAGAAACTTTTTCACCTAAAATGTAGGCCTACATTTAATTGGATTATTTTGACTGTGATCACATGATTCCTTAAAATACTATTGCAGATCTGCTGTAAGCTAGCTAGCTAACAAAGCTAATATACTGACAAAATATTTACAATTATAAAACAGACTAACTCTGTGAGAGTGACAGGCCAACTTTTTAATCCCTGAAAGTCAACAAGCGCTTCTAGTCCCAGCTGTGTGCATCACTTTTTATTGTCTCCGTTTCCATTGTTTTTTGAGCTTCTTGCAGCTATTTTTGATTTGCTGCGTTTTGTGTTTACAGCGTTTAGTTTATGAAACGCTTTTAGTAAACGATGCACATGTTTTTTGCTGCTTTTTCATTTGCATAGTTTTTGAAACTGTAGCGTATTTCTCTTAAATGTAAGTATTTTGGGCCGTTGTTACGTGTTTGCCTCTGTCGGCCACCATATTATCAGATCCAAACCCACAGTGCATTCAGCTGACTTTAAACCTGGAGTTGACTGACATAAAACTCTACCTCAGGAGCGAGGAGGAGAGACTCCTCGTCAAAGTGGAGGAGAGCCCTCTGATTGGAGTCGCTGAGGTTCACCGTCACCCTGAGGCACGGCACAGTGCTCACACCTCTGCAGTCCACCCACTCCTCCAGGATGTCAGCCTGCAGCAGCACACAGCGGACCCCCTCCTCCCAGTTACTTGAAAACAAAGAGGAATAGCTCCAGTACCCATAGCCAGATTCACACCAGAAAGGCAGTGTCTTCTTTTTTTTCCTTTCTTAGATCTCTGATGTGAGGTATGTTTTTTTGTGCCTGTTTTAGCAAATTTTATGGAAGCCCATTTATTCCAAAAAATAGATAAAAAAATTATGCATTATAATACTCAACACACATAATTATAAAATACGTACTATCTTAAAAATATATATTGTCATATTTTTTTGTTGGTCGGACTATCACTTTGGTCTAAATATCTCAACAACTCAACTATTGATTTGTAGCGTACCGTACACAGAGGACAAATCTGGACGTTGGTGATCCATTAGCCTTTCTTCCACTTTCATAGGTCAACATCGTGACATGCACATGGTAGTTTGCCATTACAAGTTTTACGCACCTGCATTTTTACTTTCGTGCATTCCTTCGAGTATTTTAGCTTATGACCAAAAAGCTGCAAAGAAAATCATCTAATTTAAAAAAAAATGGCATGCTAACATGCAAACATTGGAAAAGCTAGCATTGGTTCTTTGAGCACTTGTGATTTGTTTGTGAGCAGTGTTGGGACTAACGCGTTACTGTAACGCCGTTATTTTTGGCAGTAACTAGTACTCTAACGCATTACTTTTTAAATTCAGTAACTCAGTTACCGTTACTACATGGTGCGTTACTCCGTTAGTTTTTTTATATAGTCAACAGCCAGGCGAACAGAGATGAGAACTGTACTTAAGTACAGTACTTGAGTAAATGTACTTTGATACTTCCTGTGTCACATGTGGAGACGGGCTGTGGGCGTGTTTGTGTTGTTTACTAACAAGACTATCATGGCGGCGGCGGAGCTCAAGTCTAGTTTCTCCACCTGGAGATATTCTCACTATTTCACTTTTGTCGAGCACAAAGAAAAGAACGTTTTAGTTAAATGTAAGTTGTGTCCTGGCGGGTCAAAGATCCTATCTACTGCCCAAACCAGTAATTCAAATCTCTTA